ATGAATTAAAAAATCCTCAGACAGAATTCTGTAGTTCAATGTGACCAGTGTATAAGTCATGTGCATCAGATCTGAAGAGCCACGTGGAAATACTAAATGCCCTTCAGACTTACTACTTTAAAAACTTCATCTTGGTGTTCTATTTGGAAAGGGCACAAAGGACAAAAGGGCAGGGTCTAAATTAAATTCTGCTCAACCAATTATGTGCTCGCTGCCCAGGTCTGTTTAAGATGAAGTTGATCATCTGATTTATACTTCTTTCTAATAACTTCTCAGGTAGATACTGTAATTTGCATTTCACATATTGGCAAATTTATAATCAGTCACTTACGCTGAAATATCTGTTTCCACTGTACTGTAACTTGCTAATAAAGATTGCTGTTGGGGATTTGATATAAGTATGTAAGACTATGTAATAATGAATAATTGATTAAGAACCTCCAGTCCAAATGTTTAGACAGAGTATCTTACAGTTCAGGTTACACTGTTATAGATAGTGAGTGATAGTGAGCCCCTATTAAGTCTGTATTTACAGCTTCACAATCACTGCTTTCAGCCTCACACCAAGTCAATCTTGGCTTTTTAGCTGTTAATTCACATCCAAATGCAGTAATAAAGCACACTTGCATTGGAGCCATAGTGCTAGATGGCGATCGATGTAACAAAATATTCCTGCGACCTTTGAATGAATCATGTACAGTACAAAAATGTTAGAATATGGAAATCAAAACAGGAGGAGACAGGCAGAAATGACTTTCTTTCTTTTAGGTAAATGCATATTAGAAGTGGAAGAGGAGAATTTAGGGGTGAAGAGGTGAAGAGAAGGGAATTCAAAGGGAGAGGGGGTGTGAGGTGATTCTAGATTGTAAAGTAGAGCACTGAAATCCCAGAAACAAAGCTGTATGTGGGCAGAGAAGAGATTCATTTTGGGGACAAAATGCGGTGGAGTTAGTTGAATTTGTAGTTGTTTTAACTCAGCTGTGTAATTTGCAAAATTTTAAAGAACCATTTTCCTCTTTATGCATTGTGTGAGAAGGTAATAGAGCATATTTATCTTTGTGTTGTAGACACCCCATTTGAAGACTGTGTTTTGTTTTCATACATAACCATTCATCTAAATCACTTGTCCTGTTCCTGTTCAGGGACACACAAGGCTGAAGCCTATCATGATTGTACAGGAGTGTACTCCACCTCTCAACCATTGTGCACACGGTTTCCAGTCTGTCGCAAGCAAACACATTCACACTCACAATCACACCTACAATTTAGCGCTCCCTTTCACCTGACCTGCATGTCAGTGGACTGTGAGAAGAAAAGGGTACACCTGCTGGAAACCCACACAAACACAGGGAAACATGCAAACACAAACAGCAATGTACTAGCTTCTGTGTAAATGGATCCTCTCATTTTGTGCCCCAAATAGATAACATGAGTCATTACTTTATAAATGATAAATAACAGATAGAGCGGAAAAAAGATATTCCATTGATTCACAAGGCAAATATAGCTTCTTTAATCCAAAATATGAAAGTTTGATTAACCTAGATTTCAGCTCAATTCACAGCAGCCCAGCAGTAACACTGTTTTAAGGATTGTACTGGATGGCAGCTGAGACCACAGACTTAAAATAAAAAAAATAAAGCAACAATAGATAATTAAAATAAGAATACCCACTGCTGAACACTCAGCCAGATGCTGGCTGGCTGCTTTACAGTTTCAGTTTCAGTTTGTTTGGGGCTGTTGGTTTTGTTACAAAGAAGAGCTGGCGTCTGCAGCGTCTGTTGTCATGACAATCACAGGGCAACACTGGAGGTCTCAGCTGCTATCGACAGCCTTCAGGCTCCTTTGGTCCTCAGTGAAGAGCAGACAACTGACTCCTGCAGCAGTTAGTCGGTGTTCTTCTAACAGCTGCAAAGTGCAGTAATTGAGAATGTTTGAAATGGTGATGCGACGGTGATCGCTGTTCTTGAGCAGCAGAAGAGGAGCTTGTTGGCAGCAGGACAAAAGCTGCAATATGGATGAGTAATATAGATGAGCCAATTGAATAGTTTTGGATGTGTTTTTCAGTTTGAAGCAAATTTGGCTCTTGGAGAGAATATTTTAACTCTGTTAAGACCAACCTCTGTGGCAAGTAACAAAAACTGCAGTACGAAAACTGGCTGGGACCAAAAATAGTCAATCTCCATAAGGCCCCATATTAAAATACCCAACTTTACAGCATAAATAAACATGTTTACAGCCTGGTATAAAAAAGAGTTTCAGTCTGTATAGCTTAACCCATGTTTGTGACATCTGTAAGAGAGATAATTCTTTCCCCATTTTTGGATTAGCTGGGAGCAACAGAGACAGGACTGCCAAGATGGCGACTGCCTGAGCCGACCACACTGAGCTGTGCAGCATCGAAACCTATGGGTGACATCATGGAAACTGGGTCCATTTTTTTATTTTATTTATACAGTCTGTGGTTAAGCCTTCAACAGGCGAGGATTATCTGAAGGAAGCTTTCTGAAAGAGGAAGTCATTTCTCTAACAGTTCTTTTGCTGGTGTAAAGAAAAGGTCGTACCTCTTACACTCTATTTGAACTTTGCAGTGCACTCTTCATTGTTCAAGCTCAGACCTGTTAAATCCATAACAAGCTGCGGCTCACTGGTGGTTTAGTCATTTCAAACTCATGCTGTGCAGCTGAACATTGTTGTATCCCAGAGAATTTAAATTTAAATTTTAGTAGTGGTTATCAACTGTGTCAGACCAGAAATTGGGGAAATATGTATGTATTTCCATTTGATGGAATGGTGCAACCATGAAAAACATGGAGTCTTGAGTTTGAATATTTCACTCAGTGCCAACATCATACAGCTTCAATGAAGAACAAACATACAATGGATAAATATAATGCTGCCAGACAATGTGTAATAAAGTGATTTTTCCAACCTTAAAGTAATAAAAGGGGGAAACTTTTAAGGATAATTAAACAAAGATTCAAAACACTGATTTAATTTAGATGAATATCAAACATATTCCTTAAGGTATCATATACATTATAATTCCCACCATTTTGTATTTTTGTAATGGCAGAATACAGTTTTTTTACATGCAGCATAAGTTACACATAAATGTATTACAAAATACAAAATAGCACGAGTTCTTTGATCCCATTTCCCTCTAAAAGCCTGCTCAACAAGGAGGTATCTGGCATGTTATCTCTGTTTTAAATGTAAATGTGTCAAAAAGGCATACAGGTATTGCACGTGTCTTTTAAATTTTAGAACTGGGGCATTTCCTCTCCATCTTCCTGTACATATTAGTGGTGTCTCTGACACAAATTAATTCCTTCGAGAGCTACTTTCTAAATAGAGACCCACACAGTATTTACCTCATAATGATCTGTGACTATGATACATTAAGTAAATCCCTAATTTCATAAAAGAGTGCCCTCTAACCTCAAAGAAATTAAATCGTATAATGTTGTATCTGGGTGAAATGAATACGTAGATTAACACAGTTAATCTAATATATGGATTATCTTTGTTAATCCATGCATTAGGTGCAATTAAAGCCTCCTCTTACACGTTACATGTCAATCATAATTTATTAAAGGCAAACAACCAGTCAGTTAAGCCTTAATATGAAAATTGCCCGGGTATTAAGAGACTGATACATCAACTAGAAATATGAGTGTCAACTGTTTGTTGATCTATTGAACTTGTGATATTCACTTTCATATGTTGGCCAACAGATATTATAGCCAGAGAAGGCAGCCTTTTTTTTGTAGGTGGGGTGTAATCACAGTTTGATTTTTAAGTAAACGGAGAATAGAATGGAGTATGGCAATAATGAATACCGGAACAGAGTGATTATAGTTGGAAGCCTTATTAATCACTTTGATATCAGCTGACCTCCTCTTCTGTGGCAGCGTATTGTATCGTGGTTGGAGAGGCTGTCTTTTAATAAAAAGGACAGAGATTTGATGAATGAGGCCGCAAGGGTTCGAGTGGAACGTACACATAGAAAATCTCCCATTCGATTTCTAACCTTTGTTATCACACACAAATTTAAGTGTTATATGAGAAAATAAAATATGCTGCGTTACTCACTGAATTTATTCTCTTAAACTGATTGTCCTTTTTCTCTAACATCTCATTACAGTGGTGATGTGTGCATTGGATTTGATTGTTGGGATGAGTCAAGATTAGCATCTGGATATCACTCCCTGCAATTATTCATCATGAGCAAGCAGTCCCCAGTAATTCCTCTTAACCACATCTCCCTATCTTAATCATAATCCTTGCCTCCGGTGCTGGATCACCTCCAGCCACTTGTCCATGTCCTGCTGTCTGCTAAAATCTAATCTGCATTTAGTTTTCTGAATGCCTTATTCCGTCTGACAATTCTTGCCCCTCAACACACTCTGTGGAGAGATGGAGGAATGATGCTATGATGTTTATTGTATGACTAGTGTATCAAATAATTGAAACTGCATGTAAGGAACTGATACGAATTAAAGATATATCTTTCTATAAGTGCAGCAAGCGGGTCTAATGTGACCCTTTAACTCTACAACCTACTTACTCCATTCACAGCCTCATCTTTTCCCCAAACTGAGGGCAGCAATATGCTTTTCCTCCAAATGATCTATCCATCTCTTCTACACATATAAAAGAAGAGTTGGGACTGGCAAGTTCAAGGCAGCAGGGCCTGATGGCATAGGGGAGTTCAAAGTATGCACCACTAGCTGGCAAAAGCTCTCCAGCTCCAATTCAACCTCATTCTGAGCCTTAAGATGGTACCTCATCCACAGGAAACTTTCAGTCAAAACATCCTTAAAAAGCCTGGCATCCTGGTCTACAGTGAGAAATATGTTGGCTGTGTTGAATTTGGGCTTTTAAGAAACCTTTTAACCACTTACTATAAGGTTTGAAATATGATACACAATGTTGGCAAAGAGGGCACTTTGATGTTGTTTGTGTTTTCACTGCATTAATGAGCGAACATTGCCATGTATGATATATATCAATTTTATTTTCCATAACATCATGTTTCAGTAGAACTGTACACATAATGCATATATTTTTACACACAGTTCATTTTGATGTGACTCTGTCACAAACAAGCCTTTCGAGTTTTAAAATTTACCATTACATTCCACAGATTTCCCTTTGGTTCATGTTTTAGATCAGATCATCCTCTCATCGCGGCCTGCACCTGTTGGTGAATTTGTGTCAATGATCATCAGTCATAAGTAACATTAGACAAGCATGCACATTCACACAGCCTCTGGAACAGAAGACATTTTTCAAAGACACAAGAAGTCGACTGGCTAAATACCTGAAATGTGGTCAGTCACCTCATTTCCCACCTCGCTCATGTTCTAAAAATACATTTTTCGTTGTCTTGTTTAATCTGGTGCCTCTTTACACCCCCCCCAAAAAAATAAAAACAAAAAACAAATAAAAAATTACAGCATGAACAGGAATTTTTGTGTAACATTTCCAACTTTTGATTAATTCGTGCCTCAAAGAATTCAGGCCACAGGCAGAGAGATCCTGCCTACTTCTAATGAGCTGCAGCCAAATTAAGAAGTGGCCACTGAATGTAAATATTTATCAGGTGAAAAGGATTTGTGCTTTGCAAACGTTGTTTCATAAATGTTTTCATAGTCACAGTTTGATTGGTTTCTTACTTGTGAACACTACAGGAGATGCATATACAACTATGTTTCAGCTTTTCTGCAGCTCATTATCGTACATCATATGACAGTACACTGTAAGTGCATTCAATTATGTTCCCAAGGCTTATCGTTTTATTTTCCATCACAGTGCAGGTACCCTGCGCATAATTTAATCAGTGTTGCATCCTATTCTGTCTTAAGCTTTGAGTTGATGTTGTCATGCTGTTACATAATCCATTAATGACACAAAACAAACTGGGCTCTGTATAGTGAGCATGTCCAGATGAACATAAAGGAAGGGAACAGTCAGTGAGGCTTCAGAGCTGCCACATGTAAATCATGTGCCTACATCCCTCAGGCTATAAAAACGATATGAGGCTTCTAGTCGGAGTTGTGCCATGCAGGCATTTAACTCAGAGCTGGCAGGTGTGCAGAGGAAAATATTAAAATTATCTGCTTATACCTGCCTATGAGGTTGCCAGGTTTCTACATTGATGAAAAAGCTATGTTGTATTTCAAATCATACTATCGCCTTCATGAGCAACAGCCTTCATTAACATATCACACATCTCAATGCCACCCCAATTCACTTGACAAATTTTATTTATTTATTTATTTATTAAATTCTGATCTCATCTAGTTTCTATGATTTAGAAATATCTCGTCACCCTCAGTCATTGCAAACTGCATCCGTTAAAAAGAGTCAAATGAAGCATCTGTGTTTATAGTAGATATTGAATACCGTAGTAACCTTTTTAAATGTAAAGTGGCTGCTGCGCTCGTGCTGCTTTTTCTCCAAAACAGAGAGCACATGGTAGAAAAGAAAAGTCAGAAACTGAGAAATAACAGGGAATGTCTCTTTTAAGAAAATGTCAACCCTGCATGAAGATTGTGCGCAGTGGTTGGGGAGAGTGCAAGAGGGACTCCAACAGCATAATTCAGGACTTTGAGTGCATCGCCTCATTGACTACAGCACTCAAAGGGATTAGTAGCACATAGAAACCGTAGCTTTCATCTTCGAAAGAAAAAACATTTTGATAACCTTCACTGTTTACTTCCCTGTGTGTTTATTTTTTATTGTATTTACACCATATGTAGCTTTTTCAGTTCACACTTAATGATAAAAAATAAACATAAGATTCACAGGTTTTTGACTCAGAACTTAAAATGTTGTTTCTCCTCGGGTATAATCACACATAGCACGAGCGTCACCTGGTGTAAACACCCTCCGGCATGGCAACCGAACAGCAGGATAATTATCGTAGAGACAGCAAATGTCTCAAACTACGCCTTCTATCAGGTTTTATTTACTTTGGCTGCATCCAAAAGCTGGAAGGAATAAAAATAGTAGATTGTATTTTGTTAATAATTTTAATATAGCTGGCTTTCTTTAAACAAGATTCATCATTGTAGGATTTGAAGGACTAAATAATTACTTTATTTGACTGTGTAAGAAGCCCAGTGAGAAATTGCAGAGTGGTTGGTTTAAAAAAAAAAACTGATGGGAAACAACATTTCAATTACATGCAGGTTGGAAAACAATGAATCTATCCTTTGCTGGCAGGCAAGGTGTCATATTTGTTTGCATGGAGAAAAGGCCCAAGTTAAGGGTGAGCATAGGGAACATAAATGAACATAGTTACATAATTGTGCTGTAGGGTATATAGAAAGAAAACACAAATGAGAAAAAGATAATATTTGTTCTTCTGTTTCGGCAGTCTCCTGCCTGAGGCCTGCGTGTGAAATTCTACGCAGAACTGCAGCAAAAACTTTCTATATACGATGGTCCTGAATACATAAAAAGAAATATGGAGGTAAACTGAATGGGTTTGTGTTTGATAAAAAATATGGCACTTGCCATAATATTTAAAATTTGACACTATTGTATTAAGTGTAAGGCAGTACTTTTGAATGAAAAAAAACCTAAAAGGACCCAAGGTGTTTTTTTAAAGATTTCCCCCAGCAATAACTTAACAAAGGGTATGTACATGTAACCCCCTTCAGCTTTGCCCATTTCTTTGGTTTAAATTGAAGTCTTTGCCTCCCTCCCAGTGCATCTAAAACACTCTCCGGATGTTTGAGCATTAGTTTTCTCCATACCAAAAAACATCACTCGTTTTTTTTTTTTGTTGCTGTTGAGCTCACTCTACCCTGCGGCGACCTGGACACACTCCTTCTTCCCCAAAGGTGGAATGACCTTCTCACCTCTGTTTTCAGGACAGCGTTGTCACTCTGTATATTTATCTAAATCCTGTCTCTTCAACAAAAACGTAATATACCCCTGTTTTCTATCCTCCTCTGTACCACAAATGTCATTGTTTGCTTCCAAATGTTCATCCTCTGCTTGCAGTGCTCTCGCATCTGTCTTGTCCTATGAATATTTATAGTACGACTTTGAGCTTTGCATCTGTTACCATTCTTGATCTATGGCTTTGCACATTTTTACCCTGTATAAGAACACACAAATGTGTTGCAATATGAATTTAAATGTGAAAGGAAACATTAGAATTAGTATGAGGAACTTGTTTTGCCTTTCACAGATGTTTGATTTGTGCAATTAGAAGTTGATTCCATCACTTCACACTGAAAAACAAATGTATTTGTAGTGACGCAATGTACATGCCAATTAAGCAAGAGGGTTTTTGTACTTTGTAACTGTAGTTGAGTTTGTGGAATAGGTTAAGCATTATCCAATAATAGACTGTTCATTGCGTGGGGTTATTGAGCTTTAGATATATTTAAAAAACACATCTTGAATACATCTCCAATAACAATATACCACAGTTAAAAACCACACTGACACTAATTTACAAAATATCCCTTTAAAATGTCTTCAGACTCCCTTATGTAGCAGCTAATAAACTGCATGTTTCGGATAACAACAAAAGGGTTTGGTAGGCACCCTGAGATGGGAATACGGATATGAGCTGTACCTTCTCAACAATCTACATCTTTCGAAAACACAATTCAGTTAAGAGGTAATGGATGTCACTCTTCTGTCAAATTAAATGTGACCAAGTGACCTTACAACTCCTAACACTTCTCCTAATGTGCTCTTGTTGTTTTTGTTTGTTTTTCCACAGTGAAAGCTTTAAAATGTGTCCCTGGTGAGTTTTTTTTTTTATTATAAAACAAATGAACTACATTAAAATACCTATGAAATGAAAAGCTAAAATTTGCATAAGTATTTCAGAATGAAGAATAATAATCCCCACTGCATAAAACTACCACATACTGCATATGATGTAGGAGGCAGAGAAACCTTTTCTATATTGCTTACTGCACATTCAGTAAATGTTTTTTGCTCTTCCTTTTTCTAGAGGCTGGAGCTTTTCTGACACAGACAGAAGGAGAACATCCTGAACTTGTGTATCTGAGTCCTTTTGATATTTTGAGGCCTGAGGAGCAGCATCTTTTATAGTAAATCGGTAAGACATCTTGTTTAAATATGGATGTACTAAGGTGAGGGACTATCTCAGTTTTAACTGGATATGATTTTTAGATGCAACTGATGTTGGAAGTCTTGAATCGTGACAACCACTGTGTTTTGAATTGCATAGCAAAGTGTTAGTGTGCATAAAGAATCATCCATGCTGTTGCACTTGGCTATTTGGTGAAATCGAACAACTTTTTGCATTGAGATTTAGTCAATATGCTGACATCAGTGTATGGAGTTGTTCTCCCTGTGTGAAGCCTGACTATCATACTGTTCTGCACTGTTGGTTGCAGTGGTGGAAGAAATGCTCACATATTTTACGTAAAGGTAACATTTAAGAGGCTCTATTTGCAGAAATGGAATATAATATTCATAGGTATGTTTTCATTAGTGTATAATGAAAACAAGAATTGTGTTTTTGTTACCTCAGAATGAGCCTTTTATATCTACAGACTTCCTTCCATTGGGTCCACTATGTTGAACTGCCATGTCTCTACAGTAGCTCAGAAGGGACAAGCCAAACATCGGCTCTAGATAGGGGCGTTACATTTTTTACAGCTAACATAGTTTTTCCTTTGCTTTTGGAAGGGGAGAGTGAAATGAGCGAGTTTCACTCTGCAACTACAGTGCTAGATGCCACCACATCCTACACACTGGACTTTTAAGCAGTACAAGGAACTTTCATTTTGTGTTCCTTGTACTGCTGATTCTGGTGCCCCCTGTGGACAGACACGGTAGTGTCTCTACCACCTTGTTTAGTCTGATTTCAAGGGGAATCCGAGATCCGACCCAGTGGCAGCTGGTGATGACAGAAAGTAGAATGGATATTATTGGATAACTAGAATTTTGCAGCTGGTAAAGAGGGAGATATTGTAATTTCAACTACTTTTATATACTGCTGAGTAGTTTGTGGATTAGTGGAAATAATGGATGGAAATATTTAAGTAATTGGTTGTAGGTTTACAGTAATTTATTTTATTTTATTTTGTTACCCTGTCTGGATAGCCCTGTGTCCACAGTGTTTTATTTATAGTGAGAAACTATTGTTGTTGAAATACTTCTATATATTGTTTATGTATTGTATTGTATATAGTGTAACCCTATAAAGTGCTATTTACATATATGGTGAAACATCTGCAAAGAGCAGTACAGTAGACTGTATGTTGAGATTGTTTTTGTGCACTGTATAAAACTCTTGTTGTACCCCGACAGAAAATCAGGAAAACATCTGGGGAACAAAAGCACTTTTTTAAAGAATAACTTCAAATCGCTATCAAATTAACATTTAGCCTTGCTGGAAATAGGCTAGTTATTTTTTTTGCCTCTTTTCTCATTGTACTCTCACTGTTTAAAGTGTTTTTTATTTAAAAGACAATATCAATGGTGGCTTTACATGCAGCCTATACTGACCTATCCTATCAATTGATATTGCAATAAAGTTATAATGATCGAACCGCTGCAGCGGTATAGGTGTTATGCAGAATCCCGTATACAGCAGCAATAGTAGATATCAAGGTGTCCTCCAACTGCTACATCACATGCACCATTTTTTAATTTCTTTTCGGAGGGGACTTTTAAAAATGAAAACAGCCATGTTAACTGGCACGTCATATATGATTTGTTGCAAGTTTTGCTCACGACTTGCTTTGTGTCCATGAGTGACTTAATTTCCTGAATTAACTTATTATGTTCATTACTAAGTTTTTGTTTGTTGTTCTTTGCAGTGCACAACGGTCAGAGCTGACAGCATGAAGTATATGCTACTGCCACATGTAAGTGTGCAATTCTGACCACATTACTGTCAAACCCCATCAGACCGATATTATATATTGTAGACACTTGCTACTAATGTAGCATTCAGTTGAGGCGAGTTGAACTGTTTGAGGCTTTTGAAGTTACTAAAGAGAGGTGTTTGTTTACCAGTGGTTACCCAGTTTCATGAAATATGTCTAAGAGTTTACAGCAGCAGACATTAAAGGATATTACATTTTTCATGAAATATTAATGTACCATTCAGATTGTTTTTAGAGTAACTGCAAAATAGAAACTGCAATGCATGGCTCAGCTCTCCCTCGACGTAAGAACATCTCTAAAATATTTGCTCTGTTAGTGCTTAATGGTTGAGAATCACAGAGGAAACTTGTCCTTATTTAGCACTTTAGCAGCAGGTTGTTGATCCTCCAAACTTTAAATAACTCATTATGTGTATTATTCTTCACAACTTTACACAAAATCCACAGATGTAAACAGATGTCAGCCAACAGAAAACCAAGCCATGTATTCCAGTTTCATTTGTTACTTGATACTCTTTAGCTGCACAACCGTCTGAATGTCACATAAAAACAGGATATACCATTTAACAGGCTTTAGGATCCAGATTTTATTCTTTGTTTGTGCGATCTCTGACTGACTCGTTGTTGTTGAGTGGTGGAGGTGGAGACTGCTTGCTCCTCATGCTCCTGCCGTCCGTGGCGGCTCGCGAAGTCTCTGTCACAAAAAGCCGAGTCACCCAGACGGAGGTGACAATGCGTTTGTACTCGTTCCTGAAATTCCTGTTGAGTAAGCCATAGATGATGGCATTCAGACAGCTATTGAAGTAGGCCATGAAGTAACTGACCACAAAGAGCCACTCAGGGATACGGGGGGCCACGCGGGACGGATCGATTGCCACCGCCAAGCCAATCAGGTTTAGTGGAGCCCAACAGATGGCGAACAACACGAAGACCACAAACATGGTAATGAAATTCCGCAAGTCACTTGGTTTGAGGCGAGGGCTCTCCTCTGTCTTCACTTTACGTCGCACCTGATGAAAACACAGAAAATAGGAATTAGACTGTGCAAATGATGCTAGGAAGCTACTGTTTCTCTCTGTCTCTCAGTCTTACACACAAAAACAGACAGGAACCCACACATGCACACATACACACATACTGATATGCACACACACTACAACCACTCCAGGGATCTCGTCCATCTATCTGCCTGTCAAACATGTTATCTCAGCTGAAATCACAGACACTGACTTGCCAAATATTTGTAGTGTTCAGAGTTTGTTTTTGATCTATAGTTACTGGTGATTCAAGATTAAAATGCTCAACTCAAATGTTATATGGCAATGACAGGATGATGTATTTTGTCAGTGTATTCTGGCATTTAAAAGAATCACACTGACTTGTCCAGCAAAGGGTCAGTACTGCCCTACAAAGCCTAACTAAACAAACAGTGAAACTGAGAAAAATGACCGCTAGAACAGCGATTATGTGCTTATTGAATATGTATTCTTTAAGTAATTATTATGGCTTACAGATCATGACCAATTATTTGACCTGTGGCCCCAAAAATGCAGATACTGCACTCTGTCTTTGTATGACCATAAACAGATATATAGGTGGTGCAAAGCCAGAGTGCAGTAACTACAGTCTGAGTGTCTTGTTCCTGACAAAATCAAAATCTAATTCGACATCTTATTACATTCAATCTGTATTTCTTATTGTTTCATGTGTAACAAGAATTTAAGTTGTGAGGTTTACTTAGCACAGTAATCCTTTGTCCTGTCTAGCTAGTTAATGCTAGTTAGCAATACCTTGTTCTGTCTAGCTAGTTAGACCTAGCACATGCACAATAATATCTGAACTATTATTACAATCGGCTCAACAAATAATACACAGATGAATTCACAGTGGAGAACAGAGAAGATTCCCTTTACTCAAACTCTGAGAAACTGTGGGAGAGTGCAGTAACTGCACTTAATGTGGTTGGTCTTGGTTTTTGGTTGGATTTTGTAGTTTGTAGTTTTTACATCGTTTTTTCAACGGTCCATTGATAGAACAAGACTTTTGTCTAAAGATAAAACAGACATTTTAAATTTAATTTTGAGTCATAGTTAAATTTTAATTGGATAATTAAAGTTACTGTGGTTTTGTTTTGTAGGGCAGAGTAATTAAAAGTCAAAATTTCAAAACTTTGAATGACCATATCTCCTACAATACAGATCTAATTTGAATTTGGAAGGCGGATGGATCGTCTTATTGTTTGGCTCAAGGGTGTTCTTTACAGCTGATGGCATGCTAACAGGTTTATGTGGTCGGTTGTTATTATGCTATTCAAAAGGTCCCATTAATCCCTTCTGTGTGCCTGTAAAGACATACATATGCATGTAGAAAAGACTGACCTGAATCACAAGCACCCAGATGCGTAGATAACAGTAGGTAACCACTGCAATTGGAACCAAGAAGTGAACCACGACAACTGCCACTGTGTAGGAACTGCTGACATTCTGGGCAAAGGTGCAGGAGTAGACCCGTGGATCGTAGCGCAGGGAACCAACGAAGAAATTGGGGATAATGGCCACTACTGTTAGCACCCAAATTAAGGCAACAAACAGCAGAGTGTTGCGATAGCTGTACAGCCGACTGTAGGAGAATGAGTGACAGATGTAGCAGTATCTGTTCACTGCAATCCCAGTGATGTTGAAAATGGAACCGATAACGCTCAGCCCCATCAGGAAACCACTGACCTGAACACCAGACAAAAAGAAAGAAAGTGAAGTGTTTGTGTCAGATTGTATTGGTAGTTAAACTGAAACATACTGAGGTCACTGATGTGGTCTTACCATGCATTGTGTGTTCCCCAGTGCCCATCCATCATGGAAGAGGGCGTAGAGAACCAAGGGGTAGGGGTAAAAGGCTACCACAAGGTCAGCAAATGCCAAACTCACCACAAACACATTACCTGGAGAGGAAGACACAGGGAAATAGTCTCTTAAGTATATTTACAGTAACTTGCGCTCTGATTGTGAGATGAGTCACATGTTTTATTATGCCAGACACACTATGATTATACCACCCTGTTTACACTGCATTCACCATTTAATGTGGCTCTGATTGTTTGGCCCCTCATCTTATCATCTCAGTACAATAAATTTGCCTGCATGTGCTCAGCCACTCTGGATAAGTACAATCAACTCTGGTGGTTCATTCCAGGCAGGAGTAGCCTTTATCCACTTTTGACTTTAAAGTGCTCACAAAACAACAGCATTCATATTCCAGTTTACATGCTCTTCAAGTCTGACATTATGTTACAATGTCAGAGTTTTCCTCTAGTATTCACCTTTGTCATGTTGCCACAGTATGGTGGTATGCGAACTGTATCATTTACCAAATGCTATCATATGGCAGTTATATTCAGTTATTCTCTGACAATATATGTGAGTTAAAATAATCAGAAAAGGCTGTTTATCTTGTTTTATACTGAGTATTGTTCTTATCGGGCAAATGTTGGACCTGGTAATTTTCAGTATACTAGAAGCCTATCTCAGTATGTCCAGCTTGGCGAGATTGATGGCAGAGAGGGCTCAGATTGTATACCAAAGGTTTCTAGCCTCTACTTCACAGCCGGTTGCCTCAACCTGGACAAAGTTTTATCAGCAATGGCAGAGTTGCTATGTTTTGACAGAGTAGAGGGACAAGCTTGTGGACACAGCTCATGAGCTTCCACGACACAGGGGCATGCAGGTCATTTTTCATCTAGCTGATCCCCAGCCTAAACTGTGGTCTGTGGTTCACAAAATCCAGTTGGTACGTCACGCAAATGAAGCGGAACACTGTAGTTGCATTCACTAATTCGCTTCAGCTTCTTCATTCACGCTTCCTAGTAACATCTGATTAGTAACATCCAGTCATATTGGATGGTGTACAAAAAAACAGCCATTATAACCTGACACTTGTCATTCTCCTGATACACTCTTGTTAACTTAACTAAAATCGAATGTTCATCTATGCCTGTTAAGTGGGCAGTCCCTTCTGCCAAATCTAACTGTATCACTACTAGCCAAAAAGTAGGTGCTGTCGTCTGAGCCGTATTCCAGGCTTGTTTGTTAGAAACAACATAGATGCTATTGTAAAGTAGTTCCAGATATAATAGGGCAGAGTATTGACGGGGCTTACTGTGTAGGTTACGTATTTGTGGCTCACCTCGGGTTTTACCTACAGATGCTTGCAGAGGTAATTTGCAGAGCAACATTTAAACTCTCAATGCAGAAAAAAACCCAACTACTGATCGTTCCCTTATTTGTCAGGAGGAACTTGAAGTACTGGAGGGACCGAACATCTGTTTTAGTAACTACAGTGTGTGCACATGTGGCTCTGGTGTGTGGCTGTCAACCTAGAACTGTCACTATGCACCATGATGCACAAAGTGGAGACAGCAATTCAGCACCTTCTGTACAAGGACATCAGTTCCCTCCTTTTGTGGAGAAATCACTTTGGACTCCTCAATAAAATAAAGTAAAAGTGTCAGAGTGCATGGAACAGAACGCTCTGCTCCCGATAGAAAGGAATAGATGAAATTTGACTGTTCATGATCAAACTTAGGCCTACTTCAACTGATAAGATGTTCTTCTGAAAAAAGACAGATAATAAATTATATTTATTAAAACAAAATATTGCACAAATTGTGAAACTGTACCTCTATTCCAGGTGTACATTTTAAAATTCATTAAGGGTTTAACACCCTGAGCTTTGAATAAATGTTTGTTTAAAAAAAAAAGCATAACGTGCATTTCCAAGTCACCACTTCATTGGTGCTCTTGACAGTTTATACAATATTCAAATAAACTGTGAAGTACAACAAATAAATGACTCAAAGCACTTTCCAAGAAGAAGTGTGTGGCGGGAGAAACAGAAATAAAAATGTGCCTCTTGATGATTTAGGATCCATGTCCCAACAAGCCTCCAGACAAACCAAACTATCACACAAGGCTTATAGTCTTCGAATGTGAATGTCAATGATGAACGCTACTGTACAAGTGTGTTGTAAATCACACACGCACAGGGTATTTTTCCTACATAAAATGATATCAATCCTAAAAGTGAGGTAAATTGCTAAAGTGGTGTAATTTTTCTACACCAGTCTAAAGTTAGTTATTTTCCTGTTTGAACAACATACATTTTACAAATGCATACATATCATTTTACATTATTAATATATTATTTTATGACAACCATGGAGCAAAGCACAACATGCAAAAAACTGTGGCTCTACATTCCTTGACCATATCAATACAGTATATCAAACAGTCCTCAGGTTATAGGATTCTTCTTCCATATAATATTTACTGATTGAAAAAAAACAACACATAAGAGTTACAGTCATGCTAGCTGCTTTTTGAGTCTGTATTTAGGCACAGTGGGGCTTTGAGCTAAATGCTAACATACACACATACCAAGTGTTGGAACAGCAAGGCGACTGACTGACAGAGCAGCATTGCCATCCTTCAAAACAGGCCAAAAACATATTCCTGCTTTAAATAAACAAACACTGAATAAAATGTCATGTAAATCAATCAAACCCAATGAAATTAATCAATTATCTAAATTACAAACATGTCTTAAGGACATAAAATCCTGGATGACCTGCAATTTTCTGATGTTAAACTCAGAAAAAAACGAAATTCTTGTTCTTGGCCCCAAAAACCTTAGAGACTCATTGTCTAAAGATATAGTCACTCTAGATGGCATTAACTTGGCCTCTAGCACCACTGTCAGGAATCTTGGAGTTATCTTTGATCAGGATTAGTCATTTAACTCCCACATAAAGCAGACCTCTAGGACTGCCTTCTTTCATTTACGTAATATTAGAAAAATTAGACACATACTATCACAGACAGATGCAGAAAAACTAATCCATGCATTTGTTACTTCAAGGCTGGATTACTGCAACTCTTTATTATCAGGTTGCCCCAATAAGTCCATTAAAACGCTCCAATTAATTCAGAACGCTGCAGCACGAGTACTGACAGGAACTAGAAAAAGAGATCACATCTCTCCTGTACTAGCTACTCTGCATTGGCTCCCTATAAAATGTAGAATTGAATTTAAAATCCTCCTCCTCACCTATAAAGCTCTTCATGGTCAGGCCCCTTCATATCTTAAAGAGCTCATAGTACCCTATTACCCCACTAGAACACTACGTTCTCTGAATGCTGGGCTACTTGTGGTTCCTATAGTCTCTAAAAGTAGAACAGGAGCCAGAGCCTTCAGTTACCAAGCTCCTCTCCTGTGGAACCAGCTTCCAGTTGTGGTTCGGGAGGCAGACACCCTCACCACATTCAAGAGTAGGCTTAAGACATTCCTCTTTGATAAAGCTTATAGTTAGGGCTGGATCAGGTGAGTCCTGAACCATCCCTTAGTTATGCTGCTATAGGCCTAGACTATCGGGGGATTTCCCATGGTGCACTGAGCTACTCTCTTCCTCTCTCTTTCTGCACTCATTCATGTCCCTTTAATGCATGTTACTAACTCCACTTCTTCCCCGGAGTTCTTGTGCTTTCTCGTCTCGCAGGTTCTCATGGATCCTGGTGGAGCCTCCTGCCATGGTCCTGCTTGACTGCCATTGCCAATACTGTTGTTGCTGTGCACCTGTCTGTCTGTCTGTCGCTCTCTCTCTCTCTCTCTCTCTCTCTCTCTCTCTCTCTCTCTCTCTCTCTCTCTCACCCCAACTGGTCGAGACAGACGACCACCCACCTAGAGCCGGAGGATCTGTCCTAGGTTTCTGCCTTTTAACAGGCAGTTTTTCCTTGCCCTTGTCGCCAAGTGCTTGCTCATGGTGGTACTGTTGGGTCTCTGTAATTAATGTTAAAGAGTTCGGTCTAGACCTGCTCTATTTGAAAAGTGTCCTGAGATAACTTCTGTTATGAATTGGCGCTATACAAATAAAATTGAATTGAATTGAAATTGAAATTAAATATGGCTAGGAAACTAAACTGCACTATGTCATTAAAATGTAGGATTTAACATAAATATTTGCTTCAGTTTTAGGTTTAAAGACAATGAACACATGGGAATTCCAGTATCATTCTAATAATAACTATAGCTCAGCAGGTGTGTGTATGTGTATGTGCGTGTGTGCCTGTTTGTTTTACAATGGATGACTCTTTAAAACTCCTGACGTCAAGAGAGAAGAAGATTTAGGAAGTCGCAGCATTAGCCTTAGTCACAGCAAACAAAATACATACAGTATATATACATGTTTATAAGAAACAATGTCTCAATCTGGATAAATGCATGTGAGCGGTTGTGGCAAATGCACCATGGCATCTTCAATTACTGTCTGACTTCATAATCCAGCACGGTTCAATCCGTCCAGTGTATTTGAATAGAAATCAAACATGTAAAGCAGGGAGAAAGAACCTACTGTATAATGAAAGGGGAGATGACGTTCTTTATCTTTAAAAAAAAGCTTAATATGAGTCTTTTCATTACTCTTCAAACGTGATGAAGCAGACATTTTTTGGGGGGATCTAATAGATAGATACATTTTCATTATTAACTGGTCTGCACGTGTGTGTGGGCATGGGTGTCCCACATAAATAAATAAACTAGGTAATGAAGAAAGACTCCAATATAAAGCAAAGCATGGAGGTACACACAAACCTGTGCACACATGCACACAAAGGTATACAATAAACAGACAGAGAGCAAAGAACGGTCAGACTGCTTGTGCTTCAATCTCACCTTGAGGCTACAGTAGTCTTTACAGGGAAGACTTTTGAGACGAAAAAACTTTATGCACAACAAAACCCTATTTAACTAGTTCTTTCAAAATGTTTGCTACTCCTTCCATGCAGAACTTTGTGAGGTTAACTCTACTGCTCTTATACTTCATTTCTTTTTTTTTTATTATGGCATGCCGTTTAGGAAATTAATCTTTTAATATATTGAATGAACCTTTGA